GTCTGTTTCGGTGTTATGAAAAAAATCAAGTCTTGTAAACGTTCTTTAATCAACTAGGCTCAGACTAACAACTTTAACTCTCGACGCCAGATTGAACAAGCTGAAATTAGATTACAACATTTGACACGGATACCTATGATCTTGAGCAGGTCCATCTTGTGGAGCAACAGTTGCACTCTTTGTGGCGGCAAGAGGAACTATATTGGTTTCAAAAGTCCCGAATTCAATGGTTGAAATTGGGGGATCGCAATTCTAAATTTTTCCATACCTCTACTCTTCAACATCAACGGCACAATCATATTTCTGGGCTTGAGGATTCATCTGGTTGTTGGATTGAAGAGGATTCTCAGATTCAGGCTCTTTTTATTACCTATTTTCAAACTTGTTTCGTACTTCTAATCCGATTGGTATTGATCATTTCTTACAACACATTCAGCCACGCGTTACTCCTGATATAAATACTAGATTAATTCGGCCGCCCTCTGAGGAGGAAATTCGTGCAGCTATTTTTGCTATGCAGCCATGCAAAGCTCCGGGTCCTGATGGTATGACTCCGTTATTTTATCAGCGATATTGGCATATTATTAAGGCAGACTTCATTGCTACGGTATGTAGCTTTATGTATTCGGGTCATCTTTTATCTAGTCTAAATCATACTAATATCGTTTTAATTCCTAAAACTGAATCACCTGCACATGTTTCCCACTATAGATCAATATCATTATATTCTGTTGCTTATTGGATTATTGCTAAAGTGCTTGCTAATCGGCTTCATGAAATTATTTTATCTCTTGTTAGTGAATCTCAGAGTGCATTTGTTCCGGGCCGTCATATTACCGATAACATTCTAATCTCTCATGAGATTCTTCATTACTTAAAAAATAAACGTAAAGGTAAACACTCATTCCTTGCATTGAAATTGGATATGAGTAAGGCTTATGATCGCATTGAATGACATTTTTTGTTTTCCATGCTTGAAAAATTGGGTTTTCAAGGTCATTAGATTCAATTAATTAAGGCATGCATTTCCACAGTTTCGTATTCTGTGATGATCAATGGTAAACCTGTGGGGTTGTTTCGTCCCACGCGCGGTATCCGCCAAGGGGATCCTTTATCTCCATATTTATTTATTTTGTGCACAGAAGCTCTGTCTCAATCTTTATAGGTGACTCTCCAGCATAGAGTTTTATTTGGGATTCGGGTGTGTCCCCATGCTCCATCTATTTCTCACTTATTCTTTGCGGATGATTCCATTGTATTCTGTCAAACATCTACTACTGAGACTGTTTTTCTTAAAAACGTATTGCAGAGGTATGAAAGGGTATCTGGGCAACAAATAATTTTTTCTAAATCCCCTATTTTCTTTTCACGTAATACTTATTTGGAGGATCGTGTTACTTTATGTTAGTTGCTTGGAATTCAGGAAGAGAGTTTACGTGTAAAATATTTGGGCATGCCTGCGATTATTGGTCGGTCCGAGTGGGATGTCTTTCATTATATCTCCCAACGTGTCGCTACTCGTTTAGCATCTTAGAAATTTCTGCTCTTATCTCTTGCAGGTAAAGAAATTTTAATTAAATCAATTTTGAGTGCTTTGCCCACATATGTTATATGTGACGGCCCAAGTTTTGTAAACCCGGTGCGTCAATGATGACCAAAAGATGACCCGATAACGGATCCGAAATGCGGAAGAGAAAGGTGAAACAATGGTCTCTAGCGCTACAATGCGTCTCTAAGATACCAATGTGACCCTCAATGAGGTCGCGGAACCCAAAGGAAACAAATTCAGAAGTGTCGTTTCAAAAACGGACAAAAAAAACCTAGGGACAAAATGGTCATTTTACAAAAAATGGATTTAGGTGCTATCGAGCACACCGATGGAAAGAAAATGACAAATTAGTCAAGTTCAAAAAAAATTTTACTCAATTTGGAGTCCGGACGGGGGAGAAAGGTCAAAAACAAAAATGATGTCGTGGCGGCCCAACGAGGACAACCCACCACTGCTGCAACTGAGAGTAAAAACGGGCATCTAAACAAACTTTTTTGGAAAAACTCAAAGAAGAAACCCCCCCTAAAATCAAGTTTCCTACCCTGACCACAAACGGAAACAAAAAAAATGCATTGTAAAATGCCCAGAATGCCCCCAAGAAAATCAGGTCAAGAGGAAAAAAACTAATCCGAACTACTGCCCAAGTTTTGGAAATAGGGCTTCGGGAGGTTTTAAAATTGCCTAAATTGAAAATTCAACCTTAAAATGCACCCACAAGACCTCAAGAAGTTTCGGATTGGTCGTGACGATTTTCAAAAAAAAGTCGATGAATAATACCAACTACATTTGTACTAAAAATTTGCAAAACCTGGCAGTAAGGATTTTTCGGAAAAATATTGATTTTTGAGGGCCAAGATGATGTTTTCTGGAAAAACACAAAGAAGAAACCTCCCTCAAAATTGAGTTTTCTATGTGACATATGAGGAAAAATGAAAAAAATGCATTGTGAAATACCCAAAATGCCCCTGGAACAGAATAGGGTAAAACTCCCTAAAAATGCTACTTAGAGTTTTTATTTCATCAATGAAGGTATTGTTTGCCAAAGTGAGCATGCAAGTGTATGTAATATGATAAAATAGATGTGCTACAATGGCCTATGGCCTCATTACAATACATTTACAACATTTGACATGTCAAACCCCCAAGTTAGAAAAATTACATTTCATAGACAAATCATGAACATGCTAACACTTGCATGTGAACAAGAATGCTTCTAAAGAAGCTCAACTCAGCAAATCACCCAAGCAATTGCAATCTCCAATCTTGTATCCTGTACCTGAAATATGCCCCAGTATCGTAGGGGTGAGTAACATAAAGCTACTCGTAGGAAATGAGCATGCATCGACCTACATTTTACAAGTGTACATGATTTAATCATTGTGGTTCATTCCACCTAACGTCTATGTCAAAGGTGAGACTCAGGGAGCATCCTAGCTACCTAAGATCATTTCTAGCATAAAACACATCCTTTATGCAATTTCAACAACACAAGAGTATGCTACACATAGCAATAAGAAATAGCATGCTTACACAAAGCAACTAGTTAGAAACATGCTTACACAAAGCAACCAGATAGAAACATGCTTACACAAAGCAACTAGATATAGATTCTCAAAGTTATCAACTTGAAATCTAAAAGCTAAATCAACTAAATATAGCAATTTAGTATGGATGTACTTAACAACATCAAATCGCCAATAGCCAAAACCACTGTCACAATATAAACATGATTGATAACTTGGAATTGAATGCGAAAACAAATAGTGGAAGACTTGGACATCACAGCTCGGATTTCCGCTGAGATAAGGCAAATTTGGAGCTACTAACCCCCAGGCAGCCTACCTAACGCGCGAACTTTTGACTTAGAGGACTCTTGTCCCCGTACTAGAGCCAAACGCTAGCCATCACAGCTTAACAATGTCCCAAGCAACTCCAAAATAAATAAGTTAACAACTTATATATGTATTAAACAGTACACGAAACTACCTTCATGCACAAGTTTAGGGTTTGGATGAACCCCAAGCTTGTAAATTAAACCCTTTCTCTTGAATTTTTGGGAAATTTATCTTGTGATTAGTACTATAGCCTTGTGTATAAAATGAATCTTGGTTTAACTCTATGATTCCTATAGTTTAATTCTTCCATTTAATTCTCTAGATTAGTTGCATGTCTAAGTGTAACTAATTGAGGATTATATCTCTATGATTCATATGGTTTAATTCTTCATATTGATTCTCTTTATGATTACATGTTGTCTTATGTGTGATTATTTGGGAATTGATATTTACACTAGTTTCTCTATGTTAGTTGCATGTCTATTTGTGATTAATTAAGGACCTAGTGATGGCTATGCATGGTTTTCATTGAATGAGTTTGTCAATTAATTTGATGGATTATACTTATGCTTGATGAGTTGTTCTACAATTTAATTCATGTTTGTAGATAGGTAGACAATCTATACTTGATTTGATATTCCATGGCTTATTGTTGCAAATTCTATAATTCTCTAGATTGGGTGTGCAATAATTGTTACTAATTTGATGGGTCATGCTTAGAATTGATGGGTTGTGCTACACTTAGTTTATTTGTCGGTTAGGTATATAATTCCTTCTTAAATTTGATGGTCTATGCTTAATATAGCAATTGGTAGTCGCATTTTGTTCACAAGAATGTTTTTCCCCAATTAGTTGAAAGTGTGTGGTTTAGTGAACGAGCTTGGTGGTGATTTTAATGCCCTAAGCCTCTCTTCTCATCTCTTAAATCCCTATCTCAACTTAGTATTATTTTAATTCCACTTGAATTAATTGCATCTTAGTGTAATCAAACAACCAACCCTCCTTTGCAATCATTTGATATATACGAGTTGAATTTAAATTCCAACACGTATAATCTCTTGGGAGGATCCCTTTTTACTCATACTACATAGTATAGGTGTTAAGCGGTTTATAAATTTAAAGTATGATACCCATTTGACACTAATTTCCAAACTCAAAGTGTTGTGCATTATTTAGTGCACACGCTCGGTTCACATCATGCCATGAAAAAATTAAGAGAACATTTTAACAAGACAGAATCCTTAACCCATCCAACAAGACCGTTGACGATGTCTACCTGCCAGAGGGAATCGACACAGCCATTATGGACTCCTCTAAAGCTGATCTTATCCTCGAGGTGGCAAGACTGGGTGATATTCTGCAGCAAAGAGAAGAGGAACTCCAGGGATTTAAGACGAAGTTGGTGGAGCTTACTACTGAAGTTTCCTCCCTTAAAGTTCTTCTTCATGCTCCAGCTCTCCATGCTCAACCTAAGTTTTAGGCACCAAGTATCTCTTACGCGCCACTTGACGCACTGGTTGCACCTTCCCCAAGTCACATAATGCCTCAACCACAAGTTTCAAATTCAAATTTGAACGTGACGTCATTTACTCAGGAAAACGTGTCCCCATCCCTACCTACCACATCAAATCAGACGCATGCTTCCCCAATTTCCCTACCAACTGAATCCAATCAACCAACGCCCTCATTCTCGTTCCATGGAAACTGTAAGGAACATCACCCAGGTATGTTCCAATATGATTGTTTTTCCTCACTCATGGACCAACCCCTTGGTCCCCACTCAACCTCATAGACCATCAACACCCATACTCCTCCGAACTCATCCTTACATACCATTATCACGCGTACTCCTCCCAACACAGAGAACATAAACACAACCATTGATGGTCGGATGTATAAGACCTGGTCCTTAGTTGCTCAATTATCTCATTCAGACTAGAACTTTGAATTTTTTAAACCTTCGATCTGTGTTACCTAGACTCATCGTTTCCGGCGAGTGTTCGTGTCGACACGACATGACACGGACACGAACTCGGGATATGCTTCCGACCTTGTACAGTCAAGATCGGACACGATTGTTGAAGAAAACCCTTGTTTCAGTGGTCGGAAATTATTGGTTTCACAGCGATTTTAGGAAGGAGGTTTTGGAGAAGACGAGGGTTCTTCACGTGTTGGTTTTGCATAGAACCTACCCAATTTGGAGCGTCCCACTCACGTGTAAACTTCATAGCCTGTCATTGTCATTAAGAAACGTAATAGAGTGTGTATATATTTATGGTAGTGTATATATATATATATATATATATATATATATATATATATACACACACATATGATTATAGCATTTAAATATCTATATATATAATAATAAATATATATTGTGGTTAGTGGGTTTCCAGCTGTAACCCACTAACCATGTTGACCCTTTGAACATAATAAATAGGTGTAATTTTACATTTTTGACCTTATAATTTATGACGAAAAAATTAGAAAAGATTGTGTAGTATTAAGTTGCATTTTTGCCCCTCAAAAGATCTGGTTAGGACTTCTTTTCTTTTTTCCCTCTTGTGTGTGTGTGTGTGTGTGTGTGTATATATATATATATATGTGAGGTTTTTTATAAGAATACCCCTAAGTTAATATTGTAACGACCCGGTCATTTGCCTTCCTTTCCTTTTTCCTGAAATTTTACGAATGAATTTTTTTCGTTTAATTTTCTTTTCTGAACTCTGTTTCATGTCGCTTAGTGTCATCTCGAGTGCTCGGAATTGGTTCCTGAGACTCTTTTCCGTGGATTGACAACTTTCTCTGAGGACCGAGTCATTTTCACATTTTTTGTTTTTCGATACTATGCACTATTTCGTCCTTTTCCCTATTCTGTCTTATCTCCGTTTGCCAATTTTTGGCACAACCTCACTTCTCATGCTCGGAGTTGGTTTTTGACTTCACGTGCCTTCATCTTAAGTGGTTTCCTTGAAATACGTATCTTTACTTTTGCAAGAAAGTACTCTGGTTGCTCCTGGTGCCCACAGGGGAATGGATGCACAATTCTTTAGATTCTTTTTCATTTCTTGGGGTGTTTTTTGTAAATATATTTTGAAGATATTTTATTTCAGGGGTATCTAAGAAAATATCTTTTGGAAGATATTTTCATTCTAGAGCGGTTTCGCAGTTAACCCTTTTTGTAGGGGCCATTATGCAATTAACAAAAGTTATTGCAAAATGCCTCGTCTGGAGGCTGGATCCACGTACAGGATTCATTTTCACATTTCGTTGGTAGTGGACTCTTGGAATTTCCTTCTAGTCATATTTCCCCAGTTTCAGAGTTTCTGGACCCGGCTGCTAACGAACTTGTTCGGGGCATAACTTTCTGCTCGGGACTTAGTTTTTGATGCCGTTACTTCCGTTGGTCATATTTTCTTATTTTAAATCTTTTCTATTCGCAGAGTTTTTCCGTTTGAGTGCGTTTGCTCAAAATCCACATTTCCGGACCCGGCGGGGCCCTTTTGTGGCACTTTTTGAGATTTCTATAAATAGGTTGCCCTAATTTTTAAAATCAGATTTTCAGACCTTCTTCCTCCTCTTGGCTGGCAACCATGGGAGCCCAAGGGGCTGCCTTCACTCTTTCTTCTCCTCCACTTGATTTCCTTGGTAGAAATCCTTCGGCTTTAGCATTTATTGCTTCCCTCGATGTGCTCTACCTTTTGCCCTTATTAGAATTCATTTCTGACGATTTTTTGAGTTCGGGTTTGGAGTCAAGTTGAGATTTTCATAGGCCTTCTTGCGGATTCTTGTTCACGGTGTTGTCCCCAACAAAACCTCTCGGTATCGTCGAATTCAGAGCACTTTTATTTTGGTGGGCCTTTGGGATTTTCATCTCAAATTGAGGTAGGGGATGTTCTAGGTTTAAATTCTTGTTATATAGCATGCTTGTGATGCTTATACTACTTGTTTGCATGATTAAATATAAAATCTAGAGATTTTATTATTTATTTTTCTTGTACGGAATCTAATTTTTCCTGTTGCTCATGACTTGGTTTAAACATGTAGCATGATTTTATATTGCCCCTTGATATGCTCATTGTCGTGTATTAAAATTGGAACATTTGAATAAGTATTACAGATTTTATTTAATATTTATTTTAGGTGAAAGATTAATTCACATGGCCTTAACTAACTTGAAATTAATATGCGTTAGCATATTAAATTAGGCCTTAGCATGCTCTCCAACATAGTTGAATTTGAAAGTAATTGGAGGTGTTTTGAAAATTAGTAATTATTAATTAATTTAATTAATTAATTTGCCCCGAATGCACTATTCACTCTATTTGAATTCCGACTTGATATTCTTGATTTACATGCATATAGCTTCACATATATTTGATTTGGAATATTCGGTTAGGTTTTGAAACCTTTTATTTAATTAAATTCCATGTTTAAGATTAATCCTCATATAATATACAACTTGGAATTGAAGTGTGGCATGCTAGAAAATTAAGCTTAGGTATAGTTGTTCACATATATTAAATTGGGATTAATTGCATGAGAATTGCAACTTTTAATTTATATTTAACTTTAATGAAAGGTTAAGTCACATGGCCTTAAATTAAATGAAATAAACTTGTAATGTAATATTACATTAGTCCTTGACATATTCTCTAAGATATGTTAAATTGAGAACATTTGGCTAAGTTTAAAAATCTAGAGATTTTAATTAAAAGAATTAATTAAAATCTATTTTGTGGCCCATTAGCTTAATTAAGGTTTTAACTTGATATTTGTATTGGCTATGACTTGTTTACTGGTATATATTAATTTGGGACTATCTGAAGTTGTTTTAGAACCTTGGGATTTAAATTAGCATGATTTAATTAAAGTTCTACTTTGTTGTTCTAACAACCTAATTGAGTTTTAGAATGGATATAGGTGATGACCTTGCCATGCCCTTTAACATGTATTAAATTGAGGTTAATTGAAATTGAATCGGAAATCTAGAGAATTTAATTGTGTTTATCTATTTAAATTCTATCAATTTGCTCTATGATCTAGTTGTGTTTTAGAAGTGGTTTCTATATTCAAATCACGGACTTAGTCTTGTTGTATATTCATTTGGTTATATTTTGAACATTGGATAACATAATTGCTATGTTTGTATTCATGAGAATATGTTTTCCTTATTGAATATATTGTTGCCTTGTGTAATGATTTGCACACTTCGTGTTTAACATCTTTCATGCATAGCGTGTAACGAATCGCACACTGAAGATTCGACATTCATCATATCATATTAGTTGTGGATTTAGAGCATGTATTGTATAGGTTTCCAAATTTGGTTGTGCTTAGTAGATAGTTGATTATCTTGCATATTCCTGTTGATATATGCGTTGTTGCACAACTTGTTGATTTTGGAAACTTGGGGATATCGTTGTTTGACTATGGCTAGGACGTGGTTCTAGTACGGGGGATAGTCCCTCTATATGGTCTAGTGCGCACATAGGGAGGTTACCCATGGGCTAGTAACCCTAAAGTAACTATGTTGTCGGTCTGATCCGGCGTGACATCCGAGTATCCACTTTGTTTGATTTCGCATTTCATTTTCAAGTTTATAACTAGATGATGTTGTAACTTGTTGTTTCTTATTTGTCGTTCCATTTTAAGTTACAGGATGTTAACTTTGCGAAATTGTGCTTTATGCGTTATATTGGAAGTTCCAATGTTGGTTAAATTGCATCGATATTGAAAATCGTGTTTTGACGTTCTAATAAAGTTTAGGATTGATCCTATTAATTCATTTATAACATAGACGTTAGGTGGCATGAACCACTACTGTTATTTTGTGCTTTAGATTCTAAGTTGATGGCTTTGAGAACTTAAACCTTGTTGCATTGTATAATATGCTCTTTTGTTGTTGAATTGCATGGATAATGTGATTCTTGTTAACTTGCATTCAAATATGCTTTTGTCATGTTGTATGGATTACTCTAGACCTAGTTCAATTGTATTAAAAATGCAATTCATGTTAATCTATGCTCAAGCATCCTTCTTGTCGTGTTCTTTGGATTATCCCAACCATGATTCGTTTCATACACGTATGTATATCATGATTCTTATTGCTTAGACTCTAAGTTAGCTTAGGATGCTCCCCGAGTCTCACTTGGACATAGACGTTAAATGGCATGAGCCCCTTTAACATGTTTCACCTTAAGGTGATAAATTTATAAAATGCTAGGTCGATGCATGCTCATCTCCTACGAGTAGCTTTATGTTACTCACCCCTACGATACTGGGGCATATTTCAGGTACGAAGACTTGGTTCGTGACGCCTAGCATTCCTTGGATGTCGTGTAGCTTTCAAGTTTCCATTTCATGCAAATGTTAGCATGAAATGTCATTTTGTAGACTTATATGTCAAAATATGTATATTTGATTCCATGTATGTAATGTGTACTTAAGTACACTCCTTTCAATGTATTTGATATATATGAGATGAGGCCGAAGGCCAATGACCATTATATTGTATTCTATGTACTTTTTAACTTCAAGAAATATTGTGAAAATCTTGAAAAATCGCAAGTCATTGCTTCACCATAGTTGCATCGGGTGTGGGAATTCCATTTTCATTGAGTTCCACGACCTCATGGAAGGTCACTTTGACTTCTTAGAGTCCTGTTTTCTGTTTTTGCTTTCACATATCGGATCCGTTA